AATTCAGATTTTTGATAATTTTTTTATGATGGTTTTTGATCTTGATGCTGATTTACGATTCTGTTTCTGTATGATTTTTTTATCTTGATTTCTGATTCAGTGTTTTCTCTTTCTGACTTGAATCACATGTTTTACTCAAATGTTTCCTCAAAATTTATTTATTCAGATTTTGATTTCCGAATCTGTTTCTTAATTTCTTTATGATTTTTTTATCTTGATTTCTGATTCAGGGTTTTTATTTTCTGACTTGAATCAATTTTGTATTCAATAGTTTTCTGCAGATTTTTGATTCAGATATAGATTTTGTTTTTTATAATGCTGATTATTGATTCTGATCCTGAGTTTTTTACTCTGTTTCTGATTCTACATTTTGACTCTATTTTAGATTTTGCACCTGACTTCATATGTAATGCTCATCCTTCCCTCTGCAGAGTGACCGTCACCACGACGTACTTCGGCCACGCGGAGCAGGTTTCTCAGGAGATGTACCAGTACGTGGACTGTGGAGGAAACACCACCTTCGTCAGGGCGGGAGACTCAGTGCTCAGCCTGCAGCAGCCTAACGAGTAACAGCTGATCACATCAACACTAACACACACTCCTGTCTTCATAGCTGCAAATTCACGTCTGACGGACGCTCTTTATTCCAACACGGAAGAGTCAACGAACGTCTTCTGATTTGTCCGTCTGAAGAAAAAAAGCCACTTCACTGTCTTTGTTTTTTGGCTCGTTAAGAAAGGGTCCAATTATTCCTTCTGTTCACTTCCACACTAACATAGAAGTGTTTCTAATAGAGGAGCGTTCAGGGGAGACACATTAATATAGTAATTATGAGTTTTCATGTCATCATTTCAACACCTTCTGGATGCCCTTTAATATTAAGAAACATGAGTTTATATACAAACTAGTGTAGAGAAATTCTAGCTACAGTAACAATGATGTCACACGTACACTAACACACACTCTGTCATCATAGCTTCAAATCCACGTCTGACGGACGCTCTTTATTCCAACACTGAAGAGTCTTCTCACGTCTTCTCATTTGTCCGTCTGAAAAAAGAAAAGCCACTTGACTGTCTGTGTTTGTGGCTCGTTAAGAAAGGGGTCCAATAACAACTAATTACCACACTAACATAGGAGAAGAAGTGTGGCGTTCAGGGGAGACACATTGAGGTAGTAATTATGAAGACCTTCTGGATGCCATTTAATTCTAACAAACATGAGATTATATACAAAACTAGTGTAAAAGAATTCAAGCTACAATAACAATGATGTCACACGTACATGTTAACCAGCACACTGGTCCCTGAAGGCACCATGTCCGTGTTTTGAACTCACCGGTGGGGTGACTGACGTGATTTCAAGATAACAAACCAAAAACACATCCAGAAAACCATTGACCTCCAGACCAGGGGATGTGAGTCATGTCAGGGTTCAGGACTCATCCCTGCACCTCTTTATGTATTCTCAATAATCAGATATTACATTTCTCACAACATGAAGGTGTGTCAGGAAGTAAACTAACATTTCATACCGTTAATGTAAATGATTTCCCCCCCTCACATTGACATACACCGATATTAAAGTGGCTTCACAAAGATCTATTTAAGAGGAGGAAACACACAGATTGTTAAATCAATAAAAGCTTGATGAAGGCACACTAACGCACTTTATGTTTGAATAACTTTATTAACCCCAATCTTTCTAACGCAACAAGAAGTTATGAATTAATGTTTTTATTGAGCTCACTTTCTGCTGACTCACCGTCTGATATTTGGTCGTTAGATGCTCATTATTACACGTCATACATTTCTATGTGTTGTCTTTACCTTTATAGAGAAATGAAGGAACCTCAGCTGCATTTATTTTAAAGATAGAAGGAAAAGAAAATGTCTTAGCTTGCCCGCTAACTGCTAATAACCAGCGCTAACAGCTTATAACCACTGCTAAATGCTAATAACCACCGCTAACAGCTTATAACCACTGCTAAATGCTAATAACTATCTTACTGCTAACTGCTAATAACCACTGCTAGCTGGTTATAACAACTGCTAACTGCTAATAACACCTGCTAATAACCACCTCAAGGTTCAAGGTTCTTTATTTGTCATACGATAACCTTGAACTTACTTACTTACTGCTAACTGCTAATAACAACTGCTAACTGCTAATATCCACTGCTAATAACCACCGCTAACTGCTAATAACCACTGCTAACGACCACTGCTTACTGCTAACTGCTAATAACCACCGCTAACAGCTAATAACCAGTGCTAACGGCTAATAACCACTGCTAACTGCTATTAACCACTGCTAACTGCTAATAACCACTGCTAACAGCTAACTGCTAATAACCCCCGCTAACTGCTAACTGCTAATAACCACAGTTCTAGTTGAGCTCCTCTACAGAAGTCCCGTTGGCTAGCAGACGGTTTAAATAGCCCTGTAAACACAGAGGGAGTCGGTGCTGTAAGTGAAATAAAGATGATTACACTTTAATTAAAGAGGATTTTTCACATGAAACTGAGCGTTTTAACTGAATATAAAACGTTGACTGAGCTTTTTCTCCCAGATGCTGTCGGGCTGCAACTTATTGATGAATCCGTCAAAACAAAAACAAAATAAATCAATCCATAAATAATATTTTAAACATACAGTAAAAAAGCTGCTTCAGAAGTAACAGAAGCTTTTGTTTAATTATCAAAATATTCAGCAATTATTTTCCTAAAATTATGAAATCCTCGCTAATTTTGCTCAAATGTTCAATGTTTAAAGTCTGTACTAAATTCATATATTTATTTATTATATAGACCCCTGAAACCTTTTGTTTTATTATTATTATTATTTATAATAATTATAATTATTTCTGCTGAAATTCTAACATTTGGTAATTAATATTTAATATTTAGTTTCTTGCTGATAAATCTTATAATTTGGGGCGTCTTGTATTTAATTATTAATAATTCACGTGTTGATTTCTGTGTAATAATCACTTCTTCTACTGATAGTATTTTGTCCACATCATTTATTCTGTAGACGTTTTGGACGAAGAATCCTTCATTTGAAAAGTATTTTGAATGAATGATTTGAACATTGTGTTGTTTATAAATGAATATTCATGGAATGTTCATGGTGTTTCGTACTGAAGGGTTTGGATGTTTTTCCCCCTCACAGTTTCCTACCTCTGAGTCACATGTTGTTATCGTTCATACTGACTGTTTGTTGTGGGAGCATTAATAAAGTTTTACAACCTAAATCTTTGTGAATGTTTTTATTTGTATGTACAAAAGTATTCACAGGGTGAGGGGTAGAGCTGCCCTCGAGATGTTTTCTAGTTGACCGATAGTCGTCAATTAAGGCGATTACTTACAATATATATATATATTTTTCAAATATTTTTTTTCTCCCTAAATGGTTTCAGCTTCACATGCTGATAAAGAGCGTTATTATAACAGCGTGGTATGCTGTGCTTGACATAAAATCAAACTGTCTGCAGGTTAACATATAATCTTTAATCTCCATTACAACGCAATGAACTGTTTGTGATCTGTAAACTACAACATGTCTAAAGCATTCAAACATTTTGAAACAAAAGGTAATAAGGAGTAAGTCGAAGAAAGAGAAATATTATAATACATCTTCAGAGCTCTGAGAAAACTAGGAACCACATTCAAAAGATGAGAGTAGCTTATACTTTTCTTTAAGTTTCAAATTAAAATGTGTTTTTGCTCTGTGAGTGTAAAGATGTGAGGGTGCTCCCTGATAGTCTGGGGGTAAAGGGAGGGAACAAAAGATTAAATAACAGAGGAAACTGATTTGAAAAACCATAAGATGTATTTTAATTACCCAAAAGCAAAGAGGGCTCACTAAACAATTAAACAAAAGTACTAAAGGCTAAATAAAAAAGTAATCATATAAAAAGGTAACATGGAGCTGAGCTCCTAACACTGAACCCTCCTGTCAGGTTCCTTTCTCCTTCCTCACTTCCTGTCTGTTCAAACTGCTCTTACATTAACACAACAAACATTATCATCACCAAATGTTATTGAACTCCCTTCAAGCTGGAAACTGTGGCCCTTTCTCATTTCTCTAACTCCCCTCCTCGACTCCTGTTCTCGAGACTTAGTCCCGCCCACAGGAGAGGCGAGCGGAGGAGCCGAGGAGAGAGGAGGGGAAGCAGCAGGCGGTTAGAGAAATGAGAACTCCTCTCCTCTGATCGGTCATTTTAAAGAGACGTCCATTAATGATGACAGGAGGCACAGCAGAACTCTGTCTGATGGACAGATGTGTTTATGACCACTTATATATCTACAGTTGCAATAAAAAGTTTGTGAACCCTTTGGAGTTACCTGGATTTCTGCATACGTTGGTCATAAAATGGAGGAAGCCACTGCTGTCCAGAAAAAACATTGCTGCACGTTTGAAGTTTGCAAAAGAGCACCTGGATGTTCCACAGCACTACTGGCAAAATATTCTGTGGACAGATGAAACCAAAGTTGAGTTGTTTGGAAGGAACACACAACGCTATGTGTGGAGAAAAAAAAGGCACAGCACACCAACATCAAAACCTCATCCCAACTGTGAAGTATGGTGGAGGGAGCATCATGGTTTGGGGCTGCTTTGCTGCCTCAGGGCCTGGACAGATTGCCATCATCGACGGAAAAATGAATTCTCAAGTTTATCAAGACATTTTGCTGGAGAACTTAAGGCCATCTGTCCACCAATTGAAGCTCAACAGAAGATGGGTGATACAACAGGACAACGACCCAAAGCACAGAAGTCAATCAACAACAGAATGGCTTCAACAGAAGAAAATAGGCCTTCTGGAGTGGCCCAGTCAGAGTCCTGACCTCAACCCAATTGAGATGCTGTGGCATGACCTCAAGAGAGCGATTCACACCAGACATCCCAAGAATATTGCTGAACTGAAACAGTTTTGTAAAGAGGAATGGTACCAAAATTCCTCTGACCGTTGTGCAGGTCTGATATGCAACTATAGG